GGGAGGGAGGAAGGAAGGAAGAAAGGAAGGAAGGAAGGAAGGAAAGAAGGAAGAATTGAGAGGAAGGAAGGAGGGGGAAAGAAGGAAGAAAAGGAGGACTGAGGAAGGAAGTAGGAGGAAAGCAGAAAAGAAGGACCAAGAGGAAGGAAGGAGGGAAGGAAGGAATAAAGAAAGAAGGACCAAGAGGGGGGGGGGGGGAGGAAGAAAAGAAGGAAGGAAGGGCCGGGGGGGGGGGGAGAAGGGAGGAAGGGCGGCAGGAAGGAAGAAAGGACCGAGAGGGAGGGAGAGAGGGTGGAAGATAAGAAGGGAGGCAGGAAGGAAGAACTGAGAGGAAGGAAGGAGGGGGAAAGAAGGAAGGAAGGAAGTCCTCATGTCCTTATGACCACCGCGGAGCCCAACATTTCCATTGCTAAGTGAGACATCTGTCCAGCGAGTTCAGCCCTGTTTTACCAAACCTCCCTTGATGCCATCGCTAAGTGAATCACCGTGATTCTTAACTGAGTCACACAGTCGTTAAAGGGAATCTCCCTTTCCCCCTTGACTCTGCCAGTCAGAAGGTCACCAAAGTGGGAATGCTGCCCCCATCATAAATCTGAGCCAGTCACAATTTTGATCGTATGGTCGTGGTCGACCGGTCGTAAATGTGAAACATGGTCAGCGGTCCCCTTTTTTGGCACCTTGGTCACTAAATAAAGGGTCATAAGTTGAGGACTACCTCCCATCTTGGAAGTAACAGCCAGAGGGGTGGCTGCACCTTATGTTCCCTCCTATCTCTCCTACCCCCACAAAAATCTCACCTGGACAGGGCTGGGAGTTGCAGCGCGCAGTGCCTTCCATGGACTCAGCTACGCAAGGCACTCCGTGGAGAGTCTCGTGGCAGGACCGATGCCTCAGGGTGGTGCCCCCTCCACACGTGGCCGAGCAAGGGCTCCACGCCGACCACTCGCCGTAAGATGGGCACTTCTCCTCCGGACAGGAGAAGGAGCCGTTCTGGCAGGTGCTGGAGGACAAAAAAACCAGGCGCCAAAGATGCGGCATGCCATGAAGGGCGCCTTAATTTCCACAAGCGGAAAAGCTGGAGTGCTTTTCGTCGCACAATTAAGTGGGGATTCTGTTGTACAAAAAAAGTGAAGCATGATCTGCGCTGGTTAGACCCGAACTTGAACCCCCCAACCTCCCCACCCTCCTTAACCGGGGTAGATTGTCCCCCCTGTTTTTCAGTACCCCGAATTTGCTGCTCGAGAAAAACAGAATAAGCAAATAATGGAACAACAGAACGACAGAACAGCAGAATAACCAAATAACAGAGCGAGAGAGGATCAAAACGAGAGAATAACAGCGTAACAAAAGGACAGAATGACAGAACAATCTTGGAGCGGAGCAACAGAAGAGCAGAATAGCAAAATAACAGTGGTAGAGAGGAACAAAATGAGAGGGTAACAGCATAACGAAAGGACAGAATGACAGAACAATAGCGGAGCGGAGCAACAGAACAGAACTCCTCCTCCCAGATTGCACCCTGGAGGCTCAAGCAAAAACTCGAGAGCAGAGAACTGGTTGCTAAAATTTTTGAAGCCCACCCCTGAGCAGAGCAATAGAACAGCAGAATAATGACAGAATAAGAAAGCAAAACAGAATAACACAACAACAGAAGAGCAGAACAACACAACAGCAGAATAACAGAATAAGAAAGAACAGACTAATAAAACAGAATGATAGAATGGCAGAACAGCAGAAGAGCAGAATAACAAAACAACGAAATAACAGAACAAGAGAAGAGAAGAGCAATAGAACAGCAGAATAATGATGGATTAAAAAATACCATAATAAGAAAACAGAATGACAGAACAACAGAACAGTAGAGCAGAGCAATGGAGCAGCAGAGCAACAGACTGACAGCACAAGAAATATCATGCTTAAGAAAACAGAATGACAGAATAGCAGAATAAGAAAATAACAATGTAACAAAAGAAGAGAAGAACAGAACAGAACAGAAGAGCAGAGCAACAAAACAACAGAAGAACAAAAAAACAGAATGACAGAAGAAATATAACAAAATAAAATGAAAGACTAACAGAACAGCGGAATAACAAAACAAGAGAATAACAGAACAACAGACAGAACTGAGCAACCAGCAGAAGGACAGAACAACGAAGTAAGAGAATGACAAAATAAGAAACGCAACACAACGAAATGAAACAGTAGAATAACCAGAGAAGACCCTGACAGAACGACAGAACAATTGAAAGAGCTGAGTCCGAAGAGCAGAAGAGCACAGAACACAAATCACAGAACGACCGCATAACAGAATTAAGGGAGTTGAAAGGGACCTTGGAGGTCACCTGGTCCAACCCCACCTCCTCTGCCTCCCCTACCCCGCACCCTCCACTCACCAATTGTGGCAATCCAGTTCTGCCAACTGGCCAGGGAGGACTTCCACGCTGCTGTTTGCCGTGGCGAGACCACAGCGGCAAGCCGGGATTGGCACGCAGGAGCCGTCCTGCAAAAGCTGCCCCTCGGGACACCGGCAACCTGTGGGGAGGTGGGGGGAGCAGGGGGGTAGGGCAGGAGAGGGGCCAAATGACAAATTTAAAAGCTAGTCCTCGGATTTACGATTGGGGGGGGCTCGAACAGTGGGGAGTGGGGCGAGTTACCTTCCCTGCACTGCCCCTGCAGGCACTCGACGTGCTCCCAGGAATCCAGGCAGGTGCGGGGGCAGCCGTTGGCACAATTGGCATCGTACACCTTGCCCCGGTCCTCACATGTCTCTCCTGCAGGGAGGGGAGGGGGGGAGAAGGAAGCCAGGGGGAGGGGGGGCAGAGTCATTTCCTGGGGTCCCATTGAGGTTCAAGCTTCAAACCCCTGCCCCATAATCGAATTCTTGGCTTTCCCTCCCTCCCTCAATCCATCCTTTCATTTTTCCTTCCTTCCTTCCTTCCTGTTTTTTCTTTCCTTCCTTCTTCTTTTCCCCCTTTTCCTTCCTTCCTCTTTCTCCTTTCTTTTTTAACTTTCTTTCTTTCCTTCCTTCTTTGTCCTTCCTTCCCTTCTCTTTCCTCCTTCCTTCTTCTTTTCCTCCGTTTTCCTCCCACTCTCCTTTCTTTTTTGACTTTTCCCTTCTTCCTTTTTGTCCTTCCTCCATTTTTCATTTTCTTCCTTCCTTCCTTCTTTCCTCTTTCCCCTTTCTTTTCTGACCTTTCCTTCCTTCTTTTCTTTTATCCTTTCCTCCCCTTTTCCCTTCCTTCCATTTTTGAATTTCCTTCCTTCCTTCTTTCCTTCCTCTCTGTTCTTCCTTTTCTTATCCTTCAAATTTCTTTCCTTCTTCTGTTCTCCCCTTCTTTCCTTCTATGTCCTTCCTTCCCTTTTCTTTCCTCCCTCCTTCCTTCCTTCTTCTTTTACTCCCTTTTCCTTCCTTCCTCTTTCTGCTTTCTTTTTTGACCTTCCTTTCTGCCCCTCTCTTTCTTCTCCTTCTCCTTCTCCCCGTCTCTCCTTCTTCTCCCTCTCCCTTTCCCCTTCCCTCCCCCTCTCTTTCTTCTCCCTCTCCCTCCCCCTCTCCCTTTCTCTGGCAGCTCCGATCCTGGTGGGACATCAGCCCTGAGAGACCCCAGCCTCATTACCTGGACAAGGGCCCATGTTGCAGGTCTCCGACTGGTATCGTAGCCCCTTGCAGCGCAGCTCGGCCTCAGGGTGCTGGGGCCCTCGTTGGCGCAGGCGGAAACCTCCACCGCAGGGTGCCCGGCAGGGGCTCCAGGCCCCCCACTTGCTCCACAGGCAGAAATCTGGAAGAGACCCATAAGGCTGAGCCCTCCGCCACGCTGGTGGGGCCATCCCAATCCGCCCCGCAGAGCCAGAATCTCGGCTCACCTTGGCAGGCGCCAGTTTCCTCAACGCAGAGCTGTTGCTGCTCCAACTCAGCGGTGCAAACGTCGCCGGCACCCCTCCAGATGTGGCCGGTCTGCGGGTCGAGGCAGAACCGGTAGCGGCTCTGAAGGGAGACCTGGACTGGCGGGGAAGGCCAAGAGGCCTCGGCCTGGGCCAAGAGGGCAGGGAGGGCCCAGGGCCCCAGGGCAGCCAGTGGCCTACAGTCTGAGCAGGCTGTCCAGGGCGACCAGCCGCTCAGCGGAAGCAGCCCTGAGTGGGAGAAGAGGGAGGGAGGTGTGGGGTTCAATTCCTTTTACTACGGGTTCTGTGGGTGTGGCTAGGGGGGCGTGGGCTTTTTTTTTTTTGCTTTTTGCGGCACCCCCTCCCCATTTTGGGGCCTCCTGCCGGGGGGGAGGGGTGTTGCTCCCAGAAGGCTTCCCTGGGGGTCAGGAAGACAGAAAACTGAGCCTGGGGTGGGGGGTCCTCCCTGGCCAGGAGCAGTCTACCCGAAGCAGCCTTTTTTTCCTGGCCGAGTGGCAGGCACTTACCTTGGCAATCCTGGCTGCTGCATTGCAGCTCTCCCGCCTGGCACACACTGTGGAGGGGAAAACGAGGGGCGGGTGAGCAGGGGGTTGGACTAGATGACCTCCAAGGTCCCTTCCGACTTTGTGATTCCCTAATTTTGCAAGGGTCTCCCTTTTTGAGCTGGGGGTTGGACTAGATGAGCTCCAAGGTCCCTTCCCACTCTCTCATTCTATGGTTCTTTAAGAATGGGTCACCTGCTTGAACAGGGGGTTGGACCAGATGACCTCCCAGGACCCTTCCGATTCTGTGAATCTGACTCGGAGGAGGAAGCCGAGCAGCAGACAGGGAGTGGGGAGTGTGTCTCTATTGACTGAGGCAGAAACTGGGGGAAGGAGCCAAGTCCGACTGGGCAGAGCAGGGGAGAGATAGAACAAGGGAGACGGGGTTCAGAGGGAAGACCCCAGGCCCACCCTCCCCCATCTTCATCCTAGGGCACACGGGGAGGAACAGAGAAGGGAGCAGCGTGGGTTGTGTGACATACCGGGGGAGGGGGGAGGAAAGGGCCCTGATTCCCTTCATTAGCCACAGCTGGGAAGACAGTGTATATCAAAACACAGGGAAGCTGTACACAGCAAGTTGTTGGCTGCAAATCGTGCATTGATCTGGTCTTGCCACGGCATCTCTGGCTTCACGGCATCTTTCCCAACCGCGTGAGTCTTTACCATGCTTTTCAAGCCTGCAATGCCTAGCTAATTACTCCCGTTGGGTCCCCCCCCCCCAGACTATAAGTTCCAGTTTGTGTTGACCTTGTTTTGGACTGAATTTTCTGAGATATCTTTATCCTCACAATCCCCCCCTTTCCACTTTGAGGTAACATTCCCCGAAGCAAAAGACCACCGCTCTGCCCTCCCGACGGAAAACCCGAGACTCACCATTTCTTGCAGCCAATTGGAATGGTGTCTCCGGCCGCCATGAAGACGGGGGCCCCTGCCGGGTGGGGGTGGAGGCAAGCGCACTGCGCAGGTGGCACACATGACCCCCTCTGCTCCAACAGACCCTTTAGGGGGGATACACATATACAGAGGGGTTTTCCAGAGTTGGCTCCTCCTTCTGGGACCCCTGACATTCCTCCCTTGCTTCCTCCTTCTTTCCTTCCTTCCTCTCTTCCTTTCTGTTCTTCCTTCTGTTCTTTCCTTTCCTTTCCTTTCCTTTCTTTCCTTCCCTTCCATCCATCCATCCATCCATCCATCCATCCATCCATCCTTCCTTCCTTCCTCTCTTCTTCCTCCCTTTCCTTTCCTGTCTTTCCTTTCCTTCCATCCTTCCATGTTTCCCTCCTTTTCCTTCCTTGTTTCCTTCCTTCCTCTCTGTTCTTCCTTTGTTCTTACTTCTTTTCTGTTCTTCCTTCCTTCCTCTGTTCTTCCATCCTTTCCTATCCTTCCATCCTTTCCTTCCTCCCTCTCTGTTCTTCCTTCTTTCCTTTCCTTCCTTCCCATCCATCCATCCTTCTTCTCTCTTCTTCCTTCCTTCACTTCCCTTTCTTTCCTTTCCTTCCACCCTTCCTTGTTTCCCTCCTTTTCCTTCCTTCCTCTCTATTCTTCCATTATTCTTTCTTCCTCTCTCTTCCTTCCTTCCCCCTCTCCTTCCTTTCTCCTCCTTCCTTCCTCCCTCACTTCCTTCCTTCCTTCCTCCTGGGCAAAGCAATAAGACAATGAGGGAGATTCCAGCACGGCTGATTATCGGAACAGCTGATTGTTGGGAGGGGAGAAAAGAAATATCATAAGGAGTGACTGGGCGGGAGATAATGCAGTCAGCAATATGCGTGTGTGATAAGGACTGATTGGGTGGGGAGGGGAGGGATGGCCAGCCAGGGGGAAGATTGGCCAGTTCTCCGAACGGCACAAAATCATAACAACCAGTTCTATCGAACCAGTCCAAAATAGTAAAATCCCACCCCTGCAGAAACCCTCTGTCGGCCGCCATCAGCCAGCCCTCCCAGCCAGTTACAGCTTGTAGTTCCACAGGTCCATCACTTCGGCGCTCACCTGTGGGCAGTAACAACCAGGTAAGCAGCGTGGAATGTCCTTGCACAGCTCTGGGTGCTTCAGGGTGGAGCAGTGGCTGTCGCAGGGGGAGCCACACGCCCGGAACTCAAAGGGGGGCTCACAGCTGGACTCTGGCAAAAAAGGCACAGGGAGAAGTCAGCTCAAACCTTTGGTGCTCTCTGGAACCAGGCGGCGCCTGATGAGGAGAAAAGTTCTAGTGGGTAAGGTACTGGGCTAGAAACCAGGCAACAGTGAATTCTAGTTCCGCCTTGGGTACAAAGGGCAATTGGGTGACTTTGGGCCAATCACCAGGAGACAGCGAGTTCTAGTCCCGCCTTAGGCATGAAAGTCAACTTTCAGTCCAACCCACCTGAGAGATTGTCGGGGAAATACCAGCAAAGACCATTAGATACATTTGCTACCTTGAACCAACTATAAATTGTGATCAAGGTGGGATCAAAATGAAATAAATATTTAATAAACAAGGGGGCGGTTGACAATGATGAGAAGTTATGGGAAGACCAGAAAGTTGCCGGTTGGACAACAAAACTGCCCGCCTATTGTGGGCCGAGAAGGTTGTTGTTGGCATGGCCTCACCTGAACACTGGGAATAATTGCACATCCGGAATTGCCCGTCCAGTCCTAGGCATGGCTCCCCTTCAGTTTCCCAACCTTGTTGGTTCCTGTAGCGTTGTTGAACCAGGAAGCTGCATGAGCAGTGAGTCCAGGGGGTCCAAGGACTCCAGGGACAATCTGGAGGGGGAGACAGGACGGGGACGATTGGCACCCAGCAGGGTGGAAGAAGCCGCTGCCTCAGAGGACGGAGCAGCAGGATGCGGAGAGAACAGCCTTGGGATCAGGAGGCACAAAGGAACCATGTAGCTTTGACAAAAGAGATCCGGACCGCCACTTGTCTGCAATGGTATGGGGCTTCCTGCTTGGGGGGGGGTCAACCTTTTCTGGAGCAGGACGGGGGAGAGACAGAATGGCTCCGTGCAAACGGCTGACGCGTGTGCTCCCACGGGTGGCTCCTTTTGCATGAGCGGCAAGCACGCCCGCCTGCCACTCGCACAAATGGAGCTTCCCGCACGAGCAAGTGTGCCCGCCACTCGCGCAGCTTGCTCAGCCCTTGTGCTGCCCAGTTTCGAATGCGCCACGGGCCAGTAATGGGCTATGGCCCGGGGTTTGGGGGAAATGTGTTGCCAACGTGTTGCTCCTAATAAATCTTTTGAAGTTGGGCTTGAGGCTCATGACTGAATTAGGGTTATCGCTGGAAGCCCAATACCTTGGCAGGGTTAAGACTTGTGGACTTCAACTCTCAGAAATCCAGCAATCCCCATCATCCACAACCAGTAGAAATGGTGACAGGACAGCCTGCTGGGCTGAGAGATCCGTGGCATCACAACGGGGTGGTGGTGTGAACTGGAAACTCCAGGGGAGATGGAGAGCCAGTGGGCCTTTTGTGGAAATGGTCAGGCACCATAGCACACGATTAGAATTATGACCCCATCATGCCAAAAAAGGAGTCATAGAGGACGCCCCTTGTAGGTAATTGCACCCCGTCCCAAATCCCGAGGGATGCTTCTTCCCTACCTTTGCAGGCCTGCACATAACAAGGCTCCGTCTCCAGGGGAGGGCCGCGCTGGCTGCAAGGACCTCCTTCAGCTCCCGCCAAAGCCGTCGGGCAAACACAGCTCCTGGTACGTGAGGTCAGTCCCGTGCCACAGGACTGAGAGCATGGGCTCCATGCTGACCAGGGACACAGGGACTCGTCTTCTGCTGGAAATGAAGAAAGGTACCAAAAGAGCAGAATGGGAGAACTCACCGTGTGGCCAACTCACCGTGGAACAACTTGCCATAGCCAATGCACCACGGCCACGGGTGGGCCGTTGGGGGTTTGCAGGGGTTCAGGAGAACCCCCAGCTAAGATTCTGTGCAGTTCAGAGAACCCCCAAATCTCTGCTCCTGGCTGGCTCCTCCTCCTCCTCTTCCTCCTCCCCCTCCTCTGCCTCTTCCTCTTTCTAAAAAGTATAAAAGTAACTGAATGACATGATGAATAAAGTGTTGAATTGTCCCATGACTGGCTGTGGTGGGTTGGCCGTAGCGAGTTGTCCTAGATTAGTCGGCAACCCATGGCTCTGGAGCCGCATGTGGCTCTTTCATCCCTCTGCTGTGGCTCCCTGTCACCAGTCAGTAAAAGAAAAAAGGACGCCAGGTTAGGAGGTTAGGACCTTTGTGGCTCTTTGAGTGTTTAAAGTTGCCGACCCCTGTCCTGAACTCATGATGGTGAACCTATGGCACACGTGCCACAGGTGGCACGCAGAGCCATTTGTGTGGGCATGCGAGCCCCAGATAAACTTACCTGCATTGGGCATGCGCGCACTTCCCAGCTGATTTTCGGCCCATTTGAGGCCTTTTTTGGCTTCCCAGAGGCTCGAGGGAAGCCTCTGCAGCCTTGGGAGGCCAAAAAACAGGCCTGTTTAGTCACTTCTGGTATTTCCGGAAATATAGGAAGTGACAAAACGGGCCCAACTTTCGGCCTCCCAAGGCTGCACAGGCTTCCCTCGAGCCTCTGGGAGGCCGAAGAGGGGCTCATACAGGCCGAAAATCAGCTGGGAAGCATGCGCATGCGCATGCGCAGGTAAGGAAGTGGCGGGGGAGATTGCGCGTGCATGCACAGGGGGCATGGGGGGACCGTGTGCATTGCCTTCTGGGTGCTGGTGCATGAGTGCTCGCGTGTGAGTGCACAATTTTTGCCACAGGAGCCCCAAAAGATTAGCCACCACTGTCCTAGACCAACAAAGGAGATGCTGGCCATTATGCACCATTGGTCATCGACTCCCCCTGCACATTGCCATTCACGCCACCCTGATACAGAGCCTGAAATGGAGTGGTTCTTAAAGTGGTACACCTATTAAGCGATGCTATCATAAATACTCCTGAGAAGGTGCAACTGCCCATCCAAGATGCCTCGAAGGGCCCTTGTGGTGCCCTTACCTGAGGGACAGGCTTGGGTGGAGCAATTCTGGCTCTGGGTGTCGGGCCCCGCGCAGGGCAAGCCGTGGTTGCGTGGTGGTGGGTTGATGCAGGCGCGAGTTCGGATCTGGAGACTGCTGCCACAGGTTGCTGGACAGTCGGACCAGGGGGACCACGGGGTCCATCCACCGTGCACTGCCAGGAGGAAAGGAGAGAAGGAAGGAAGGAAGGAAGGAAGGAAGAAAGGAAGGAAAGGAAAGGAAAGGAAAGGAAAGGAAAGGAAATAGGAAAGGAAAGGAAAGGAAAGGAAAGGAAAGGAAAGGATATATGAATAGGGAGGAGACAAGAGGAGACTTACCTGTTCGACTACTCGGAAAGTAAACTCACCTACACAGGTGATGTTCAGGCAGTAAATGCCTTCTGGGGTGCAAATGCTGGAGGAGACGGAGAGAAAGGTACCCGTGAATTTGTTGTGAAGCATTTCCCTGTAGCTGCAGCCGCGTCCAGAGACACACACCCCCCATTGCATCCCTGCATGCAATGCCCTCCCATCTAGGTCGGGGGTCCCCAACTCCTAGTCCACGTCGGTCCATGACGTGCCAGAAACTGGTCCGTGCAAACGAGCAAAGTCCCATCTGTGGGATGCAGGCAGGACACAAAACCATGATCCCCCCTCCCCCCCGATCCATGGAGAAACCACAGAATTGGTCCCCGATCAGTGGAAAAACCATGGAACTTGTTCCCGTTAGGACACAAAACCACACACTCCAATTCATGGAAAAACTACACACCTCGATCCACGGAAAAAAACCACAGAACTGGTCACCAATCCATGGAAAAACCACGGAACGGGTCCCCGATCGGTAGAAAAACCACGGAACCAGTCTCTGACCTAGGAAATGTCTACTCAGATTCCCATGGGGAACAAAGGATGGAGGGAGGGGCACTCACCACTGCTTGCACTCCCCCAGGAGCCAGGTGCTGCCCAGGCTGGTCTCGCGGCCCTCATGCAGGCACAGAGGGGGGCAGGCGTCCAGGGCACAGGGGTGGGTCTGCACCTGCTCCTTCAGGCAGTCGGGGGCCCAGGAGCCGGAGGTGGGAGTCCTGCGCGGGGTGGAAGGTTGCAAACCATCTTTGAAGCTCTCCTTGAAAATCCCACATCACAGCTGCTGGCTCGGCCCGGTTCTCCCACTGTGGGATGACCCGCGGGCACGGCACAGAGGTAACACGAGCAGCTGGAAGTTCAAACCTGCCCTTTATTGCTCCAAATTTCCCCAAACGCTGGGGAAATTATTTTAAAATTTAAAAAAATCCAATATTTACATTACATGGTGTGTGGTGAGTTAATTTTGTGAGTTTGCTTGCTAGCAAATTTTATGTGACAAGACTCAGGTAGCAGATAGATAGATCTCGGAGGGAATCTGTGATTCTGCGAGCAACTCCACCCGCCTGCCTGCTTTGCCTGGTTTTGGGTCAAAGTTGCCCTTTTTTTAATTAAAAAAATTCAATATCTACATAGCCACGCCCAGCCAGTCACGTGACCACCAAGCCACACCCACAAATTAGGCCACATCCACAGAGCCAGTTGTTAAGGAATTTGAACCCCACCCCTTGTTCCAGCTCATCTTCCCCCGCAGATTCAGGCTCCGATGGGGCCATGACACACTGCAGTCCCACCTACGGGAGCACCCCCTATAGTTTCCCACCCACCCTCTATCTAGGGTCTTTGGGATTCGTCCTTTTCTTCCTTCCCAAAGAGGCTCCAGCACTCAGCTTCAGCTGTTCATGACAATTCTCAGTGTCATGCCCCTTGAGACTGACCCTTGAGGGTGGAGACTGACCCTTGAGGGAGAGGAGGAACAGCTGACAGGGAGTGGGAGTGTGGCTATCCAGAGGTGGTGGAGGAGGCTGGGGAAGGGCAGAGGCCGGCTGGGCAGTCAGAGGAAGACCCAGGCCCATCCCCTCTCCATCCTAGGGCACGCAAGGAGGAGAGGATAAGGGAGAGACGTGGTCTACTCGGGAGGAGAGGGCCTTGATCCTCTTTATGGGCTGCAGCTGTGACAACTGAATAAGAGGATGGACATGTGAGCGCTGGAAACAAAGCATGGAAATATCTCTAGTTTATGGTTCCTCTCTGAGTTTGGCATCCTTCCCAGTCTGTGTTCGGTTATCTGTGGATGTCCTCCAGCCCTTATCTTGCCTGGTTTGTGTTGCTTTTTCCCTCCTTCTTGTAACTGTTTGTGTGGGAGTTTTTTTATCTTCAGTCAAGGATATTTGGAGTTTGGAAGCAAAGTGAAGGAATAAAAGGGGCTTCACCGTTTTTTTGTGACTGTGTTTATTTTGTGTGTTTCTCCCCCCCCCCCCGGGTCATCACACTCAGATTTGGGTAGTCCTTGACTTACGACTGGTCCCTTAGGGACAACTTGAACTTACGATGGAACTCCCCCAAAAGGTACTTACAACCTGGCTCCAATAGGTGGCTCTCTTCCCCAGTGTCATGTGACTGCGTTTTGAGAGCTCAGAACCGACTCGCATTTAAGGCTGTTTGCAGCATGCCGGGATTCACATGATCGCAATTTACATCATTTTTGCCAAAAGACATCATTTATTTCCATTCTTTGGCAAAAAAAGTGCCTCATAGGGAACCAATGGAGACACTTAAGGACATGGTGTTCACTTAATGACCACTGTGAAAGAAGTTTCTAACATCGGGTCAGTCAAGTTTACAATTTACAATTTTCATGAGTTGTCATCATAATTGGGCATGGCTGTAAATATTGGAAAGCATTCCAGTTGCTGGAATTCTGGCAACTTCACCCCGCTTGTCTCAATAAATCCTGTTAAAAAGTATTGTTAAGTAAAGATTACTGATACTCTTCTTTAATAAGGTTTACTATTGTAAATAAATTTTGTTAAAGATTACCAATACTCTTCTTTAACAAGATTTATTATTGCTGAAATCTTGTTAAATAAATCTTGTTAAAGAATACCGCTAGTTTTCTTTAACAAGTTTTATTGTTACATAAATCTTGTTAAATTAATCTTGCTAAAGAGTACCAATAGTCTTCTTTAACAAGATTTATTATTAATCTTGTTAAACAGTACTGATAATCCTCTTTAACGAGATTTATTATTGTTAAATAAATCTAGTTAAATAAATCTCGTTAAAGAATACCAATAATTTTCTTTAACAAGATTTATTAAATAAATATTATTAAATAAATCTTGTTAAAGAGCACCAATAGCCTTCTTTAACAAGGTTCATTATGAAATAAATATTATTAAATAAATCTTGTTAAAGATTACTAATAGTCTTCTTTGGCCAGATTTTTTGTTAAATAAATTTTGTTAAATAAATCTTGCTAAGGAGTACCCAAAGTCTTAAATAAATCTTGCTAACGAGCACCGATAGCCTTCTTTAACAAAATTAAATAAATAATAAATTAGAGACAACCTGTTAAATAAAACTTGCTAAAGATAGTTTTCTTTAACAAAATTTATTGTTCAATAAAGTTTGTTAATAAATCATGTTAACGAGTACCAATGTTCTTCTTTAACAAGATTTATAGAGACAAGAAGAGTGAAGCTGCCAGGATTCCAGCACCTGAAACTCTTTCCAATTTACAAATCGGCTATGACCATGTACTTGGGGTGGACACTTCCTGCTTCTCTTCCTAACTGCTGTCCTAGCATCTCGCGAGGACCGAGAACTTCTCAGTTGGAGAAAGGAGGACTAGAGGAGGTGGGTCTTATCATATTGAACCTCTTTCCATGTGGGAATCAACTCTCACAGAGGTAGCCCTTAACAACTTAACAACATAACAACTTAACTTAGACTTAACAACTGTGCCTACTTCTTAAAAAAGCTTCCACTGCCATAGCCGAACCTCTAAGCATAATCTTTGAAAAATCTTTCAGGACCAGCTCCTTGCCAAAACTATGGTCACAAGCCACAGTCATCCCCATCTTCAAAAAGGGAGACCCAAGCCTAGTTGAAAATTACAGACCAATCTCTTTATGCTGCGTCACCTGTAAAGTCATGGAATCAATTATGAACCAATCCATCATCCTCCACTTAGAAACAAACGACCTACTCTCTAATAAACAATTTGGTTTAAGAAAAATACTATCCTGTAATCTGCAATTCTTACACTGCAAAAACATATGGACGACACAACTCGACCAGGGCAAAGCAATAGACGCAATCTACATAGACTTCTGTAAAGCCTTTGATTCAGTGGTACACGACAAACTACTCCTAAAAATAAAATCCTATGGTATCTCTGGCCAACTGAATAACTGGACAGAGGCATTCCTGTCAAACAGACAACAAATGGTCAAAATTGGGAGCGTCCTATCAAATTCTGTACCTGTCAACAGTGGTGTCCCCCAAGGCAGTGTTCTAGGACCAACTCTCTTCATACTCTACATAAATGACCTCTGTGATCATATCAAGAGCAACTGCATCCTCTTCGCTGACGATGTAAAGCTATTCAACACCACAGACAATACTGCTACCCTTCAAAAAGACCTTGACTATGTATCAGAATGGTCAAACAAATGGCAACTTCAAATCTCAACAAATAAATGCTCTGTCTTACATATTGGCAAAAAAAAATCAAAAAATAAAATACAGGCTGAATAGTCAAGACCTTGTTGATGATCCAAACTCTGTCAAGGATCTTGGAGTACTCATCTCTAATGACCTAAGTGCTAGAGCCCACTGTAACTAAATAGCCAAAAAGGCATTAAGAGTTGCTAACCTAATCTTACGTAGCTTTTTCTCTGGTAATGTTACACTACTAACTACTAATGCTAGACCTATACTTGAATACAGCTCATCAGTCTGGAACCCATATCATGTATCTGATATTAACACAATTGAGAAAGTCCAGAAATATTTCACAAGAAGAGTTCTCCACTCCTCTACTCGTTGCAGAATACCTTATGCCACCAGACTTGAAACTCTAGACCTAGAAAACCTAGAACTACGCCGCCTTCGGTCCAATCTAAGTATATAAAATCATACACTGCAATGTGCTACCTGTCAATGAATACTTCAGCTTCAACCATAACAATACAAGAGCAAACAATAGATACAAACTCAAGGTTAATCGCACCAAACTTGATTGCAGGAAATACGACTTCAGCAACAGAGTGGTCAATGTCTGGAATCCTCTACCTGACTCTGTGGTTTCTTCCCCAAACCCCAAAACTTTAACCTTAGACTGTCTACTATTGACTCACCCCCTTTCCTAAGAGGCCTGTAGGGGCCGTGCATAAGTGCACCAACGTGCCTACCGTCCCTGTCCTATTGCTTCTTTTATTTTTCTTATATGTACCCATTTCATGGATTCATAACTATGTTTTTACTTATACCTATTATCTTGTAAGCAATTGACAAATAAAAATAAAATAAAAAATAAAAAAGCCTCTGTCTTCTTGCTTTTCAGGGTGTGGCCCTCAATGAGAAAGATATCTGGTCCTGGAGTCCCAAATTACAGTCCTCCCCCAGACACAAACATTGCCCACAGTGCCCTGGTAGCAGCCTTACCTGAAGCGGGTGCGAAGGCCGTTCCCACAGGTGACGCTACACTGGGACCAACTGGACCAGAGGCTCCAGGCGCACTCAGTGGGAGAACAGATGTAGTTGGTGCAGAGGAGCCTCCCTCCAGCGGCACAGGTGCAGTTATTACACCCATCGTCATACTGGCTGCCCGGTGCCCAGCTGTGTCCCTGGGCATCGGTGCACTCGCAGTGGGTGAGGGGTACGCAGGTGCCGTCCTGCTCCAACGTACCTAACAGAGAGAGCCAGATGAGTGAGAAAAGCGACTCTAGACCTAGGCCTGAATTGGCCTCAATTGTGCGGTTAGCTGGCTAGGTAACATTCTCAGTGTGTAACTCATAAACATTCCTATGCTTGTTTCTGAGTTGCCATAAGCAGGAGGCGGGGGACCTGAAGGAGCAGATAAGAACAATCAACTGATGGAACAGAAGTTGCCCTCAGAAGTTGTGGGAGCGCCATCACTTGAGGCTTTCAAGAAGAGATTGGACTGCCCTGTCAGAAATGGTGTCGGGTGGGGGGTTGGACTAGATGACCTATAAGGTCCCTTCCAACTCTGATTACCTGTTATCTGTTAGATGGCAATTAGAACCAGAAGCACATTCCACGCTTATCTTAAAAAGATTGTAGCCTAGGAACCGGACCTTCTGCTGGGAAAATCCTTTGTTGGAGAATGTGACTGATGACACCCACCCATGAATGAGCTTCATTGGAGAATCTGATTCATGACACACCCGGGGGGGGGGAGGGGGGAAACAGGGTCACAGATGACTGTAAATTACGTATGTCAGATTTGGCTTCATATAGGTCTGTGATGGCGAACCTATGGCACCTGTGCCACAGGTGGCACCCAGAGCCATTTGTGCTGCCACGCAAGCTGCAGGCAAACTTACCTCACAGCACATGCGCGCACCTCACAGCTGATTTTCAGTTGGTTTGAGGCCTTTTTCAGCCTCCCAGAGGCTTGAGGAAGGCTTCTGCAGGCTTTGCAGGCCGAAAACTAGCCCCGTTTCATCACTTCCTGCTTTTCCAAAAATACCGGAAATGACGAAATGGGACTAGTTTTCGGCGTGCAGAAGCCTGCAGAAGCCTTCCTCAAGCCGCTGGGAGGCCGGAAAAGGCCTCAAACCCACTGAAAATCAGCTGTGAGGCGCAGAGCAGGTAAGGGGGTGGCGGGTTGGGATTGGGTGGGTGCATGGGGATTGCGCGTGCATGGGTACAGTGTGTATTGCCTTCTGGGTGCTGGCACGCAAGCATGAGCATGCAAGTGCACGCACAATGTTTGGCACAGGAGCCCAAAAAAGTTAGCCACCACTAATATAGGTCATGCCGACATGTTGCTCCTAATAAATTTTGTTAGTTCTTTTGGAGCTTGGCTCAAGGCTCATGATGTAATTAGGGCAATCGCCGGAATCCTGACAGGAAGCCAACTCTGACATATGCAAAGAAATGTGGGGTTCGCTGCCCAGCTATAGTTTGCCCTGCCAGTTTGAGGGAGGATTGTGGAGTTTCTCCTCAATAGTTGTTCAATTAGAGTATTGTTTTCTGCTTGGTAGTTTGTCTGGTGTGAATCCCTGCTTATCTCTGTGTTGGGATGTCCTCTGAATTTTCTGTTTCTTTCTTCAGTTTTCATTGAATCGTTCAATCCAATGGCGTGTAAATCTGGTTTATCTCTATGTATCTGTTGATGACTGATTTGTCTGAGTGCCAGGATAAGCAGGGATTCATACCAGACAAACAATTCACCAGAAAACAGTACTCTAACCAAGAAACCACCAAGGAGAAAAATCTCTCCCCCACTAGCAGTCAAACGCCTGTCAAATGACCACAACTGAGTCCCAAATTGATGTCACGGAGTAAAACACTTGTCAAGTGAGTTGGCCCAGCATTATGACGTTTCTTGCCACCATTGGGAAGTGAATAATTGTGTTTGTCAAGTGAGCTGCCCCGTTGTTAAGTGAATTGGGCTTCCACATATGACTTCGTCTGTGAGAAGGTCGCAAAAGGGGATTGCATGACACACACACCCGGGACACTGCAACCATCGTAAATATGAGACAGTTGCCAAGCGTCTGGATTTTGATGATGTGACACCCCCCCCCCAGCCCTTGCAAGGGTTGTCCGATCGACGGTGGTCGGTCACTTTTTTTGTTGCCATTGAACGGTCCCTTACTCTATACTCTTTATGTGCGTGACTGCATTCCCACTCACACTAGTAATACTATTGCTAAATTTGCAGATGATACAACAGTGGTGGGACTTATCTCCGGGGGGAAATGACTGCTTGCCGAGATGAGGTGGACCAACGGTTGCTTTCGTGGTGTGGAGACAATATCTTGGTCCTCAACAGCAATAAGACCAAGTGTCCTGCCCTTGTTGGAGTCTGATTCTGAGGAGGAGATTGAGCAGCTGACAGGGAGAGGGAGTGGGGCTCCGGTGGCTGTGGAAGGGCACAGTCCGGCTGGGCCTTCAGAGGAAGACCCAGGGCCACCCCCTCTTCATCCTAGGGCACGCAGGGAGGAACGGAGAAGGGAGCAACATGGCTTACGGGAGAGAAAAAGGCCCTGATCCCTTTCATTAGTTGCAGCTGGGAGAACAGGATATAAGTGGGGCATTTGCACACAGCTCCTTGCTGGAAGCAAAGCGTGCATTATCTTTGTTTGTCTGGAGTCCTCCCAACCACGTGAGTTTCGTTATCTTTCGAAGTCTGCAATTCCTTCTCCTGCCCTGTCTCGTTAATTGCTGCAGCAAGTGGTTTGTGTTGGTTTTTATTTATAATCTATATGTACTTTGGGGTCAGACTGAATTTCTTCCCTTTACAAACTGTTCTTGGGAGAGTTTTTCCTCCAGCCGATGATAACTGGACACTGGGGGCCAAGTTGGAGGAATTAAAGGGACTTTACCTACTTTTGGGACTTGGTTGCTTTTGTGCCACGCCCCTTTGGGTCATCACACCAAGGAGCTTATAGTGGACTATATAGAAGGAACAGACCAGACCTCCAGCCCTTGCTTGTCAAGGGAGACCGAGTGGAGCAAGGGGCCAGTGTTAAGTTTCTGGGTGTTACCCTAAAAGAGGACCTGACCTGGGGGTGCCCACACTGCAGCCCTGGTCAAAAGGGTCCAGCAGAGATTATCCTACCTGAGGCTTCTCAGAAAACAACAACTGAATTGAAAAGTGCTGGTGACCTTCTACCGCTGCACCAGAGAGAGCATTTTAACCTTACTGCACCTGTGTAGGGTTTGCCAATTGCACCGTGGCAGTTCGGACAGCCACTCCAGAGGGTTAATGGCATTGCCCAAAGGATCCTGGGTTGCCCTCTCCCCTCTTTGGAAGAGCTTTATAGCCTAAAGAAAGTTCAAAACATTCTCAAAGATCCATCCATCTCATCCTGGGAACCCCCCTTTTTTTTGAACTATTACCGTCTGGCAGACGGTACAGGATAATAATAAAAACAAACTAGAAATAGAATAGAATATAGAGAATAGAATAAGATATAGAATTAAAATAAAAATACTAGAATAAGAATAGAAATAGAATAGAATGCAGAATAGAACATATAGAATAGAATAAGAAATAGAATAGAATAGAAATAAAATAGAATATAGAGAATACAATAGAATAAGAAATAGAATAGAATATATAGAAATAGAAATAGAATAAAAATAAAATAGAATGAGAATAGAAATGGAATAGAATGCAGAATAGAATAGAATATATAGAATAGAATAATAATAGAATAAAAATAAAATAGACTAGAATAAGAATAGAGATAGAATAGAACGCAGGATAGAATATATAGAATAGAATAAGAAATAGAATAGAAATAGAATAGAAGAATGGAAATAGAAATAAAACAGAATATAGAGAGTACAATAGAATTAGAAATAGAATAAAAATAAACTAAACTAAGAAGTAAACCAAAACTCAGTGAAGGAGGCTTCCTTACCGTCGGGGCATCGACAGCCCGGCTCGCAGGCGTCCTTCTCCTGGCAGAGAATGCCTTCCTGGAGGTCCCAGCAGTGCCGGGGGCACCGGTTGGCACACCCCACCCAGTGCATCATGGGAGGGCAGGTCTCCTCTGTGGACCACAAAAGTGTCCATTACAAACACAGCCACAGGAAGGACCAGACTGCGCCCCCATCTGGAAGGAGGGGAGGGGTTCCCTTGGACTGGGGTAGATCTAAGAACTCCTGCCAAGAACAGGGGATTGTACTAGAGGATCTTTGGGGGGCCCCTTCCAGCCCGATGATTCTACGTTCTACCTCCAGCTGTTAGAAACCGCAACGCCTTCCTGCCACCTACCGCAGGGCTGGGGGTTGCAAATGCGCACGTGGTACTTCTCGCCAGGACAGGGGCGCCCTCCGTTTTTGGGGGGTGGGCTGGTGCAGGTCCTCGTGCGGGCCGAGCGCCCACCCCCACAGGTCCGGTCACACCACGACCAGGGGCTCCACTTCGACCAGGCCCCGTCCACTGCAGCAGGGAGACAAGGCAGGTGTGGAAAGGGAACTTCATGAGGACAGTGGTGACACCCAAGCAGGAAAAGCCCAAAGGGAACATCAGGCCAGCCATAAAACAAACTTGCATAGGAAAAGAGATTTAATGAAAGGTAGTAAAGAAGCCCCTTAGACAAAAGCCCAAATAATTAAGAAAACTAAGGAAACAAGAAAAGAAAACCCTTACAAACACAAGACATGCCAAATCAGCTAAACAAACAGACAAAAGACACAAAATATATGGCAAAGGAGACAGACAGGAGATTGCCACAAGAAAACATTAGGAAACTGATAATCCAATCAAACTACCCTGCAAAGTTTGCCTTCTGCACACACACACACACCGGAGTTTACCCTCCGGCGGAAATGAAGACAACCCCTGACAGGATTTAAAACATTAAGAAATACAAACACAAGCACTCACACACAAAAGGAGAAAAAAGGTATAAAAATCAGGGTTTTTATTATACAAAGAGAGCTAGCTCCAGGAACGCAGACTTCTTGCTATCTCTCGCCTTCCTGAAAAATAAAAAGAACCGGCTTCCAAGTAGTTGTCTGAATCCTTGCACTGGAGTTCTCCCAGCAGGAAAACCGAACCCTCAGAAGAAAGGCATTTCCCAGCCTTTCAACACAGGGAAGAACTCACCCTCCCTGACCTCGGTTAGTGTCCCTCTCTTCCCCACCTCCCATCACCTACGACTGTGTCCAGGGATGGCTTCCCCCAGTGGTGGCATTCTACCGGTTCGGCCTGGTTCTGCCAAGCCGGTAGCGGCAATGAGCAGCGGAGACCAAAACTGGTTCTCTCCGATGAACTGCTGTTGGGCCCGCCCACCCACCTGGGCTCCTATACTGACCTCGGTCCCCTGCTTTTGAAGCACAGCTGCTTTGTGCGGCCCAGCCAGAGTGCCACACAGCAGCTGCGTCAGCGACCGGGAGAGTGGAGGCTTGCAGGAGGTGAAGTGCAACACCTCTGTGCCTGCACAAAGTGCGCGTTCGGCGCGCACACACAAAGTGTGTGCATGCATGCAAAGCACGCCCACTGAGCCACACCATCAAACCGATGGTAAAAATATTTGAATCCCACCACTGGCTCCCCCCCCCCCCACAGACAAAATTCACCTACAGAACTCATTGCCACAGGAATGATTGGATGTGGATAAAAGCACAAAAGGGGGGGGGATTGTTGCTTTTCTGCAGTAGTTTGCCGGTGAATTCACGTGTGCACAAATGGGACAAACAGTGACCATCACCTGTTTTTTTAACTTTCCCCAGGGTGTGGCAAATGCGGGATTTGCATGCCCACAGATAACAGAAACACTGACCATCAGCTGTTTCTTGCAATGCCTGGCGTGTCAAACATGATATTCGCGCACCCGCAGATAACAGCAACACCGACCGCCAGCTGTTTCTTGCATTGCTGGGTGCGCTAAATACGTGATTCGCATGCCCGCAGATAACCACAACACCATGGTGGGATTCAAATTTTTTTACTCCCGGTTCTGTGGGCATGGCTTGGTGGGCGTGGCAGGGGAAGGATACTGTAAAATCTCCAGTCAGAAATGGGATTGGCCGGTCCTCCTAACTACTCAAAATTTCCACTACTGGTTCTCCAGAAGTGGTCAGAACCTGCTGAATACCACTTCCGAGCAACACCGACTGTTAGCTGTTTCTTGCATACCAGGCACGCCAAATGCAGGATTCGCACGTCTGTCAGCTGTTTCTTGCATTGCTGGGCACGATGAACACACAATTTGTGCACCCACAGATAACAGCAATATTGACCATCAGCTGTTTCTTAGCTCAGCTGAGGCATGGCAGAGATCAGCTGAGCTAAGAACCAACAGAATATAGGAGAGGTGAGAGGTAAGAGCGGGGCCAGTCAAAATTTTCCCTACCAGATCTCCAAAACGGTCAAAATGTTCCCGACCCGGACAGAAGAACTGGTCCGAACTGTCTGAATACCAAACCTGTCGCCACCCCCATCTTGGAGAAAACCGAGGCCCCGCAAACTTACCTTTACAGGCCGGCAGGTTGCAGAAACGCCTCTCCAAATTGGCAGTCAGGATGTCTTGGCACCAGTGCCCGCCTTGGCCGGGAGGGTGGTAAGTGCGCAGGCGCTGCTGCTGCCCGACCCCACAGCTGCGGGAACACTCGCTCCAAGGGGACCAGGGGTTCCAGGTGCAATTCAGGCCAAGGCAATCTTTGCCCTCGCACACGGGGGTCTCTAGGGGGGGAGTGCCAGAGAGAGAGAGAAATTAGGTGTGGGCTCCCTGTGGAATAGCTCAAGGGCCCAGCTCTGTGTGCGAGTGACGCCGTGAGCGCTCCTGCCCACCTGTGCATTGTGGCAAGTTGCATTCGCGTTCCTGCACAGTGTCTCCGGCGCAGCCACTGCCTCCCAGGCAAAACCGCCAACGAGTCTTGACGGCCGGGAGGTTGGGGTCACTGCAGGTCTTGGAGCAGGGGGTCCAGGGGGACCAGGGGGTCAGGTCAGTGTCCTCAAGCCCTGCCGGGTGGGGAGAGAAACGCCAGCCATGTCAACAGTGTCACCAGGGCTGAGTTCCCTTTCATCCCACCATGCTCTGGGACAGTACCAACCATGGGGATTGTTTTCTTGCTCCTCCTCCTCTTCCTCCTCCTCCTCCTCCTCCCCCTTTTCCTCCTCCTCCTCTTTCCTCCCCCTCTTCCTCCTCCTCCTCTCTCTTCCTCTTCCTCCTCCTCTCTCCCTCCTCCCCCTCTCCCTCCTCCTCCTTTCTCATCCTTCTCTTCCTCCTTTCCTCCTCTTCCTTCTCTTCTTCCTCCTCCTCTGCCTCCTCTTCCTCCTTCTCCTCCTCCTCCTCCCCCTTTTCCTCTTCCTCTTCCTCCTCTTTCCCCCTCCTCCTCCTCTCTCTTCCTCCTCCTCCCTCCCTCCTCCCCCTCTTCCTCCTCCTCCTTTCTCATCCTTCTCTTCCTCCTTTCCTCTTCTTCCTCCTCCTCTTCCTTCTCTTCTTCCTCCTCCTCTTCTTCCTCTTCCTCCTCCTTTTCCTCCTCTTCTTCTTCCTCCTCCTCTGCCTCTTCTTCCTCTTCCTCCTCTTCCTCCTCCTTCTCCCCTTCCTGTTCCTCCTCCTCCCCCTCCCCCTCCCCCTCCTCCTCCTCCTGCTAGCCATGTTGGCAGAGTCACCAGGGCTGAGTTCCCTTCCCTCCTATCACCCTTAGGAAAAAGACCGAGCAAGGGCTCACCTGGGGTCGCTGGGACTGGTCCTATTGTGGTGTGGGTCACTTCTGCAACACAAAATGCAAGTTAGGGGGAGATTAGCAGGTCTCCTCCTCCTCCTCCTCCTCCTCCTCCTCCTCCTCCTCCTCCTCCTCTTGTCTTACCCTCCCATTTTTTCTGCAACTGGCAAGGCTTTCCTGAAGGCCTCTGGAGCTCTGGATCGACTCAGAGCTTGGTTCTTGGCTGCAGAGACCTTCAGAAAAGCCTTGCCTGTCGCAGAAAAAGGACTTCCGGAAGGAGGCCGGCGGGAGATGCACGCACAACTGAGGTCAGTGGATGATGTCCCCCCAAAATAAGACCTGGTGCCTTTTTTTGGTGGAAAAAATATATCAGACAGTGTCTTATTTTCGGAGAAACATGGTATCGAATATGCTCCAATAATCTAGCTTACTTATTATGGTCTGTTGTGTAATGTACTGTACCGGTGGACAAAGTGCAAAGCCACAGTGGCCATTTCTGGTCCTCACCTTTGCAATCCAGGGTTTGACAGTATTTGATGTCCATCCGAGGGCCGATACAGTCCTTCCCCCCATTGGCAGGTTTTGGACGGGCACAATCGCGTGTCCTGGTCATGTTGCCCAGTCCACCACAGGTCAAGGAGCAGGGAGACCAGGAGGTCCAATCTGTGAAGCCCCCGTCCACAGGGCAGAGGGCGAACATGCAATCCAGCTGGCCGTTGCGACAGGAGCTGGATGGAAGGGAGCAAAGAGGGGAACCAGATGTAAACAGAGAATTTAATTCCGGGAGTAGAGGAAATCCTTGATGTACGAACCCACAGTTCAGCCCAAAATATCGGTTGCTAAGTGAGACGGTTATGATGCCACCAAGAATCATAAATGGGGGGGGGAGAGAGACACTTTTTTTTTCAGAGCCGATTTTGAATGGTCACTAAATGAACTGCTCTAAGTCGAGGACAATCGGTGTCACAGAAGGGAATGTGGAGGGTCATCCTCGACTTACGACTATTGATTTAGTGACCATTCAAAGCTACGGCATTGAAGACTCGGGGCATTTTTCATGCTTAACGCCCATTGCAGCCTGCCCAGGTGTCAAGCCCAAAATTGATCTATACGTAGGCATTTCATTTTGCCTTATTATATATTCCTTTTTCTTTCTTTCTTTCTTTCTTTCTCTTTGCTGGTTATGGGGGGAGGAAGGCTTTCAGGCTTCCTAAGGTGGGAGGAGTGGAGATGGAGAGAGTTGTTTAGGCGAGACGGTTCTCCTTCCTGTGGGAATGAAAGCTGACCCTGCTGAGACCTGGAGGTGGAGACTGATGACACCAAGGCAACGTTGATTTATTTCTATTGGGGAATGCGGCTTTTGAGGGGGCTGTTTCTAACTTCTGATATTATGTGGTGTAATTCCAGGTCGGGTCAGATTCTGGAAGGACAACAGATTTTTGCCTATTTGATGCGTTCCTAAATAAAAGAAATTGTTTTGGAAGATAGACTTTGCTCTTTTCTTTTTATTATTATTATTATTAAAATAAATTTTATTGAATTTTCACCTTTATAAAACAAATTTTATATACATTTTTGCAGTTGTTTGTAGCATCAGTCATTCCATTTTCCTGTACATATACCTGTACCTATACCAGTGGTGGCTAACCTTTTTGGTATCCCGTGCTGATAATTGCACGTGCACTTGCCTGCTCGTGCTTGTGTGTCATCACCCAGAAGGCAATGCGTGCGGACCCCCATGACTCCTGCGCATGCGCACACAATCTGCATGACCTGCAGCACATGCTTCTGCACATGCATGCGCAACCCCCAGGAACGTCGCGTGCTTCTGCACATGCACAAATATCTCCTGCGCACCGCCGCGCCCCCGCATGTGCGCACCAGATATCTGACAATCTGCTGTTGGGTGGGCGGTGCGCGTGCATGCGCAGTAGACCTTTTCTGGGTGAATGTTCGCATGCCGGCAGTAATGGGTCTGCGTGCTACTTCCGGCACGCATGCCATAGGTTCGCCACCACAGATCTATACATACATTCATACATACATACATACATATGTCACAACAATAGAACTCAGAAGGTCATCACACAGCCCATTACCCAGGTCGTTACAACACAGGAGGCTGATACACACACAGCCAATACCATGTTCTTATGAAAAAGCCAGCCAATCTTCAAGCATCAATTCCACCCAACCAATCAAGAAATGACAACACAGCCAACCTCCCCACCAGTATATATAGGGAGACGGCAGCTCCGATCATGCTTTTCTCGCACAAGCACGAAGCCGAAAGCACCAGCCTGAAGATGGCGAGTGGGACCTCGTCGAAACGTTGCCAAGATGCTCTCAATCTTACATGGGAAAAGACCCGAACACACCAAGACCTGCATACACACACACACACACACACACACACACACACACACACACACAAATATATATATAATTTACAATTACACTTTTGCCCTTTTCCTTTTACGTTATTTTTTTCTTTCTATTGTCTAACCAGACATACCATTTTCCCCAGACCGTATCGGATTCTTTTTCTTCCCTCACCTGCGTTGTGAGCTTATTCATTTCAGCGCAATCCATTACTTTCTTTATAATCATATCCTTTGGGGGGGGCTATTATCTAGTTTCCAATTTTGAGCATATAATATCCTAGCCGCTGTTAATATATATGTATTATTAAGCATTTCGGTATCTTTCTCATATTCCCCTTTAGTTGTCCCTAATAAAAATGTTTCAGGTTTGGATACTCTCTTGAAGCCTGTTATTTCCTGTAACCAGATCTTTACTTTATTCCAAAACTTTTATCGCTTTTGGACAGGTCCACCACTTGTGAAAGAAGGTAACTTGTTTCCTTTTTGCATTTCCAACATTCTGATTTCAAATTTGGATAGATTTTGGCCAATCTCGCCAGCGCTAGATGCCAAACGATAAAACATTTTTATATGCGGCTGCTCTCGTTAATCTATAATTTCTCGACCATAATCTTTCCCAATCTTCTAGCGATATACTGTATCCAATATTTTTCATTGTTGGTTTCTTTTTAAATGGGTTTCACCTCTTGGAAACCTGACGCCAGGGTCACTTGGTCAATATTTCAGAGTTGATTAAAGAAGAGGCCATCTACAACGAACAATTGGAGTAACGAATATTAAAGCGAAGGGGAAAAAGAATGGGATTTCAAACTTGGAGATTTGAGGAGGCAATTAAAACTGAATGAATGAATATTATAACTGCAGCTAGAATAAGTTTTGCTCAGAATTGGAAATTGGCTACAACAGAAAACATTATAATTAATAAAATGCATGAATGTGCCAAGATGGATAGATAAATTGCTAAAAGATAAACAAGACAGTGAATATTATAAAACATGGAATATCTGGTATGACTGGATAAAGAAAAGGTGATATCTGATGACCTGGTAACATTTGGAAAACAAGGGTAACGTGTAAACAATTATAAATAAATTATATGTATGTATAGAGAGAGCTTAAAAGGACGAAGGAGTTATGACAATGTATAACATACTATCAGAAGGAAAGTACAAGTGTATGTATTGCTCAAATAATGCTGTAAAATGTATATATATGTTTTTAATTTTATAAACATATTTAAAAGTGGGGGGGAATGTTTTGAAAGCCAAACAAAGTAAAAGGAAACAGCAGAAAAAGGAATTACAGAAGAAAGTTTTAAAGAAGGAAGGGGGAAAAACTGGAGTAAGAAAAGGAAGGGGGAAATGAAGGAAAAAAGAAGTAATAAGAAAAAGAACCAGGAAGTAAAGGGATATGGAAACTGAACAAAAATGAAAAAAAAAGTTTATTTAAAAGACAGAGATAATGGTTAGATAAGGATTAAGAAAGGGGATTCTGCAAAGTAATGTGATGTATTATAAATGTATTTGAAGTAACAAATTACTTAGAAAGTAGGAAAATATAGACTTTTAAAATGAAAAGATTGGAACTAATGTTTTTTTTGTTATTAGAATATTTGTTTTTTGTTAACATACATAGAGATAAATGGAAGAAATGTGAAAAAGAGAAACCATGATAAGTGTATTAACTATGTTTAATGAATTCACAAATTATGAGCATTGTTGTAAAGAGATTAACATCAGTTTTTATGATTAATTGAATAGATTAATTCATTTGAAATTATTAATGATTTGATGTAACTGAGGGGGAAAGTGCCATGTGGAATCCGGACTAAAATGCATATGTGTTACATAGCTGTTAGGAGATCATTTTATTTATTTATTTATTTATCTATTTATTTATTTATTTGTTTGTTTGTTTGTTTATTTACTTACTTACTTATTTATTTAGTCAAGCAATTATAAGATAACAGGTATAAGAATAAACATAGTTATGAATACATGAAATAATACATGAAATGGATACTTATAAGAAAAATAAAAGAAACAATAGGACAGGGACAGTAGGCACGTTGATGCGCTTATGCACGCCCCCTACAGACCTCTTAGGAAAGGGGTGAGGTCAACGGTAGACAGTCTGAGGTTAAAGTGCTTGGGGTTTGGGGAAGAAACCACAGAGTCAGGTGGAGTATTCCAGACATTGACCCCTCTGTGGCTGAAGTCGTATTTCCTGCAATCAAGTTTGTTGCGGTTAACCTTGAGTTTGTATCTGTTGTTTGCTCTTGTATTGTTATGGTTGAAACTGAAGTATTCATTGACAGGTAAGTCATTGCAATGTATGATTTTATATACCATACTTAGATCAGACCGAAGGTATTATTAATTTTTTAGCTGATAATTAAAAAGTCAATTATTATTGGGAATTAAAGAGGAGTTAATTAAATGATGTATAAGGTAAATTGGTAATTGTGGGGGAAATTGTTTGAATTGGGATGGAATTTTGGAAAAGATGAAATAAGAGTATGCAATGAAATTGCAAACCTGACAGATGAAGATGAAGACAGGAGAATTAAAATAAAAAAGAAATAAGTTAAGAAAGGAATAGAAAACATATGGAATAAATTTGAGAAAAGTATTTGAGAAAACTTACAGAAAATATGTAATGTAATGAT